GGAGTTGTTCAGCTTTACATTTTAATGACAACGCACTTCAATATCTCCAGCCGCTGAAAAATAAAAAGACTAAGTTCAGACTTTTAACAGACAAACCTCTGGATAGCAGTCCTTGGCAAAAACATGCAGGAGTGCCGTTTTCCCACACTGCGTGTCCCCGACCACCACAATCTTACAGCGGCTGCCTAGACTGTCCATGGTTTGTCCGTCAGAGGCGTGTTCTTGACGCGGGGACGGATTGCATCCAGCATCCGATACGAGACTCAATGGAATCGAAGACTGGAAAGAAAACTGGGCAAATACATGCGCCAACCCGGTGCGCTTTATCCAGCTGCTCCTATCGGACGCGCAGCTCTCCGATCCCGCTGACAGACTGGTGTGACTGGTCGCCTACCAAAACCGCAGGCTGGACCCACACAGCCCTCCCTGGAAACTCTTTGATTAGTGGCCACGCCTTCATGTTCATGTCTGAGACGCATCACTCAAACACGGTAGGCTGCTCTTACGAGAAATAATGGGTCTGTGGGTCACATGGTTTTTAATGATTTTACATATGGCATTCTTATGATATCTCAATAATATTGATAAATACTTAAATCGGGACTCCAGAGTTCATGGAAACAATTGCGCATCTTCTCTTGTTACCTTTAGGTCTATGAAACTATGAATTATGTGCTACTATTATCATAATATAAACTTTTTGTAGGCTATTATATTCATATAAGAAACTTGTCAGTGGTTGGACTCAATTGTCTTGTTGAAAGCATAGTCCTGTTGTGTTTTTGTTAGTAAACCAATGTGATGAGGTAATTTACTCAAATCAGTTACTGCAGTAGGCTACTGGGAGGATTTCTTGTTCAAATTAGTGACTTCAACTCATGCAGCTCAGGCGTTTATTTATTCAGTAACAGATATACAGTGAAAAAATCACACTTCTGTTAGCTGCTGTGAGGTGATCATTTCATTAGCCTCCTGCAGCCCTGAATGCTGCAGGAGGGCAAATAGTTTTACCTTTCATTCCGCCTTTTAATCTGCTAGATGAATATAGGGGTATAAGCAGTATTTCTAGTTCAAGGGCAGAATATGTAAAATTAAAGTGTTTGTAAATTATAATATTCTGTGATCATTTTTTCTTAACGTTAATAAGTGTGTCTCTTTTATGCTAATAATCACTTAGTGTAAAGATCGATTTTCTTCATCATTGTTGGGAAAGCAACATAAGAACCGTACATTTCTCCTCTCGATTTAGAACCAGCAGAACCCGTCCGAATACAATAAATGCGGTATGCCTAGATGAAATAGTTACTGTAGAAGGGACTGGGCTGTTTTTATGGGTCTCATTAGCATCAAATGATGTGATATTCTTTGGATGTACCCCACAGAGGAGTTACTGGTTTTGTGAATGAGATAAGTGAATGATGCTGGACCACGTGCCAGGACAGCACTGTTGAGTCATCTTTTGCCCTCTGAAGACCGACACTCCCTCCTCCTGGACATAAATGGTGTTACAGCACATGTAAGAAGACTCCTTGTACTCTCGGTTCAGTCCAGATCCGTTATGGGATGGGAAATCATGAGTGGAAATGGCACAACGGGAAAAACGAACTCTAATAATTCCTCGGACTTGGAGTTTGAACTTTTGCTTTGATAAAAATCCCCGGACCTGTATGATGGAGAGCGGGAGTCATCCTGCAGACAACTTGTGATTTTATTGTTCAGCCTGAAATCCATGAGACCGATCGAGCCCGTGAGATCTAGGTAATCTGTGGAGCTGCTACCCTGCCATCCATTACGCACATATGTACGCACGGCTGTTCTTCACTGCACAGCGGCATGTGAGGACCTGAAGATAAATTGCAGCACATTAACAAAACAGCATAATCCCACAGAACAGTAAACAGCAGCCTGTTTACTGTCAGAAAATGTGGCCACCATATCCTGGCAGCAGCCCACAAATTTTGATCATGAATCAGAAACTCTTCAGATGGACATATGAATCATGCTGAGCTTGAAAATGCATTCATTGATCTAGACTGTGTAAAATCATGACTGGATTAAATAAAACCCACAAAGTCACAATTGATATTCAGATGGTGTCCTGGGCTCTTTGGGGCAGTGGTATAGGCTGGCAGCACAAATATTTTTATCTACAACATCTATGTTTGATATTTTGTCACTGGTGTGAAACTAAATGAATCTTCATGGTTTTGTGGTATATGTATCCATGGATGACTGTCTGACTGTGTATGAATTGTTTCTTTCTCCACAGTTGTCTGTGGCAGTATGTACAGGCTTCCTGGGTGCCTGGACTCCATATGCTGCCCTGGCCATGCGGGCTGCTTTCGGAGATGCCACATGGGTTCCTCCTGCTGCGTTGACCCTGGCCGCTGTGTTTCCCAAGTCTTCAACTATCTACAACCCTATGGTCTACCTGGTGTGTAAGTCCAACTTGTGCAAGTGTCTCTACAGATACACATCTATGTTACGACAGAGGATCTACATAGGATGTCCACAATCAAATCCAAATGAACACGTTGGATCCTCTTGACGGCGCAACAAGGCCATAAGCATCTACACAGGCTTCTCAAATGAACAGCATCTGCGCTGTACTGAGAATACAGTATTGTGTCATGTGACCACACCCCAGAGGACTACCTGTATCCTGACTGGATCCACCTGCATAAAGATGGCAATTAGCCAACTCTCAGCCAAACCACAGGATGATTTCCTCTGTAGGTAGCTGCCTACAACCTCCATCTTTAGTGAATAAAATAAGAAAGCAAAGGTGACAACAAAGACAAAAAGACCACAGAGACAACAAATGGCATTGGTCTGTGTCCAAGGAAACATCAGTGAGGACAGTATTTTAAAAAGTCACAAAGCACAGACAAAATAAAACAAACTACATCCCTTCAGCTCAACAGAATGTCCATGGTTTAGTTTGATGGTTCATTACTGTAGTTTCTATTAGTGACCAATTGTGTTATGGTTAGAAAATGAAGGATTTTGTTAAACAGTTAGTTTGTTGCATTACTAAGTGAAATTTAAAAAACAAAGTTTTTTTAATTAAACTTCCGAATTACATTTGATAAGCGATTTAAAAGGATTTGGATTTGATAATTGGATTCAGAACTGGGCAAGAAGAAAAACAGAAGCAGGAAAATGCTTGTCAAAGGCAGCTTGCCAAACAAGCTTTGGATACTTTTAATCTTGAACAACTGAAAGACAAGCAGCAGCTGAGAAAGAAAGAGATTCAGGTGGAGAAGCAGAGCTTCAAAGAACTGCACACAGAGCAACTAAGAGATAAACAAGAACCAAAACTAAGGTGCTTGGAAAGTAAATTGGAGGATATCGCCAATAAAAACCTCCACAGAGAAATGGAGGCACGGAAACTGGATGAGGAGGAAAAAGAAATAATGCATGTTCACTGTGACATAGAACAAAAGCTGCAGCAACACAAAAATGACCAAGCAGATAAGTTCAGAAAGCTTCAGATACCAATACAAATTGTGTTTGACATT